TAAATAAAATAATTTTACAATTGTAAATGTATTACATCACATTACAATAATAAATTTATTTTATTCATAATCAAAACTTTGAATTATTTGTATAAAAAATTATAGCTATGGAAAAAGTATAAATTTCAATGATTTATATAAAGTTAAAATATATATGGTATTTATTTTTTATTTTAAACTATAAATAATTTTAATTTATATACTAATATATTATACCTAACAAAAATTTATAATTTTATTTTTTAATAAAAAAAGAAATAATATAGACTTATATTTTTAATAATTTAAATTGATAAAATCATTTTTAAAATTTGCATTTATAAAATTGAATTATTTAAGTTTATTAAAATTAAAAATCTATTTTAAGGACTTTCTAATTTTTTTTAACATTAAATGTGAAATTGTAAAAACTATATATAATTTTTTAATTATAAAAAAAAATCCTAAATTATATTAAAGCATTTCAAAAATTACCTCTTAAATAAACTGTTAATTTATACATAATTTTTTCAATTACTCAAGTTTTTATTTTTAAGGATTTTCCTTAGATAAAAACTATTTATTTTCATTCAACTGATATTTCATATGTAAAATTAAATTTCAATTTTTTATGCATTTATATATTTATTTATTTATTTTTTTCTTTTACATATATTATATTTTTATTGTTTTTATATATTATAGGTACTTTATGTGTTATCGCTTTTCTTTTCAATGTGTGTGTGTGTATGTGTGTGTGATATTGGTTCCTCTAGGACTATGGTGTGTTTCTATGTTCCTTTAAATATTTTCTTCCATATGATATGATTGCGATGCAAATAAACTATAAAATGCTTATTAAATTTAATAGATTAGGCCAATAATATTTTGTGTTTTCAATTTATTTTTTTTATGCTAACTGCAACTATGTGAAAATTCGTTCGAATTGCATTTAATAAAATAAAAAAAACATTCTTTATATATGTGTATATTTATATAATATATAATCAATATGTTGATTTCATAAAGTGCTCGCTAAATATATCTCTTGAAGTTGATATTATTTTTCTAATAAAAAATAAATAAAAATAAAATCAAATCAAATTATTTGTATAAATCAGTTAATAAAGAATTTTCGCAAAGGAAATTATATATATATATTTTAATGCTATATTTATTTTGTTTTGAATAAATTTAATAATAAGCAAAAAAGTATTGCTTCATGTATATATTCTATGAATCTCCAATATAAAATATATTCATTCATTCATTTGCTAAATATTTTCTTGGTAGTTGTTAATATGTATATGGCATATATATGTATGTATGTATGTTTGTTTTCTGTTGTTATTTATGTATGTATGTTTCAAGCACCAAAACCCATAATAAAGCAATGCATTTAGCAATTTATATATTGCAGGCCAATGTCCAAGATATGTTTTCGGTTATACATATATATATATATACATCATATATATATATATACTGTTCAATCTGTGCTGCTGTGTCCATGACTATGTGAGCATGTAACTGTGATGGTTCTCTTTATGGTATGCGAGGATTGTTTGTTATGTGGGAAGTCAGGAGCTCAGTTAGGTTAACTCTGGCCTTTTTTTTTTGTTTACTGTGCAAACGGATTGTGCGGATTGGCGCCGGGTATGTCCAGATTGCCGCCAGTTGTCTGATAGGTGCCATAGGGTCCGCCATTCGGATTCATTTCATTCAGACGCGTATTGGACAGAGCGCGAGGTATTGGATTGCTGGGCACGCCATGTGGCGCCAAATGGGAAGTTTCCTCGGCCACCTGAGTGAAAGGAAAGAAAGATTATTAAAAGAACATATATGTAGATACCCATGTATATATAGATATTCACCTGATGCGGATCCTCGGTAACGGGTATTTCCGATATGAAGCCCTGCTCCTTGCGATAGAAATTGATGAAGATGAACAGGCCGAGCACAAAGAGACAGGCAATGCCATACCAACGGAAGGTAGCAGTAGTACCGTAATAGGTGACGAACATGCCGCCAATGATGGCGCCGCAGCCGCGACCCAAACCATGATGGATGCCCTGGAGCACGCCCTGGGACGAGGCGCGCAGATGCTTGGGCGTATTGTGAGCAATGTACGAGCACGAGGCGGCCCAGACGGCGGCATGGGTGATGCCCTGCATCAGCTCGAAGGGCAACACCATCCACGGATTGGTCAGATAGGAGATATAGAGAAAACGCAGCACATTGCCAATTAGGCCCAGGCAGAGCACCTTCACGTGCCCAATCTGGGTGATCAAGCGAAAGCTAAAGAAATACGCAAAAATCTCGGACACATGATTGATGACGGACGCCACACCGAACAGAGTGGGCGTGCCGCCATAGTCCTGCAGATGCCAGAACAGAAATGTGAAGATCAGGCCAATGCCGAAGCCCATGAACCAGGCGACAAACAGAAATGAGGCCGTCTTCAGATCCTTGAAATGTGTCAGCACAGTCACCCACTCGGGCAACTCCTTGGCCGTCTGAGCGAACACCTTGGACTCGGCGCCGATATGCGGCTGCGGCTGATGGGCGGCGCCAGCGAAGCTGCTCAAGCCACCGGAGCAGGCACCCGAAGCGGCGCTGCCACTACCCACTGCCAGTGATGGTAAATTAAGCTGGGCGGCCAGCTGATTCATGGACTCCTCCTCGGCCTTCTTGTTGGGGTCCACAAATTGAGCGGCCGCCTGCTGCTGGCTCTCGTCCACCGGCTCGTACTTGAAGGTGATCTTCGAGGCGGAGATAATGGCGCACGTCATCAGCACCGAGAAGATGGAGAAGCATATGTTATAGTTCTTCTCCTTGTTGCCGGCGCCGCACGGATGATTCGAGAACGAGGTGGAATGATCCAGGGCAATGCCGACCAGAAACATCGAGATGCCCCAGCCCAAGGAGCCGAACATGCGCTGATGTCCATACTTGTCCGCATCCTCGCCGAGCAGCGTGATGACCGCCGAGTCGGCCAGTGTGATGGCCGGAGCACTGAAGAACTCGCCAATCAGAATGACCAGCAGCAGCAGGAAGAACGCCTTCTGGATGTCCTGCAATGGGCAAGGGGCAAAAGGTAGAGAGAGGGGGTCAATCCCAACGAACCCTCAGCTGTGTTCAGACTTACCGGCGTGCGGTAGACCATGGAGCTGAAGATGGGCGTCACATAGTCCCGATGATGCTTGTCATCGTAGTTGCTCACAAAGTTGATGTGGACGGGCGAGATGCCCGCATCGATGCGCGGCAGGAGCAGCGATCGCTTGTGCCGGCTGTGCTCCGTCTCGTCGCCATGGGCATCGTCGTAGGCCAGCTCCTGCTCCTGCTCCAGCTCCAGCTGACTGCTCGGATCGTACATGGCCGAGGTGTCGCGCTTGGTGCGCGTATACGTCAGCACAAAGTCGGTGGCATTGCGCCGCTCGATGCAGTTGACCGCCTCCGGGCGGATGAAGCTCAGCGGAATGGTGAAGAGCACCCAGCAGGCGAGCGAGGCGAGCAACAGCTTCTTGCCCTGACCACAGCGATCCGCATAGGAGCCCCAGAAGGGCGCCGACAGAAACTCGACGAAGGGCCGCATGCCGACCAGGATGCCGCATTGGCCCGGATTCATGCCCATCTGCTTGAAGTAGACGCCCATCAGCGGAAAGAGCGAGCCGAAGGCCGCATAGAAGAAGAAATAGAAACTCTTCACGGGTATCAGCTCTTGCTCCGTGCCGCCAAAGAACATCTCTATGATGCCCGAAGCGCCGCGTACTTTGTGCGTTGAGTCCTTGGCCTCCGGATATCTGCAAGGACTCAAGTGTCAACCATTTGAGGTGGAAGAAGATGCTACTTTAGCTACTCACAAACTGGGATCCACTTCACCCGTGGCCTCCACATCGACGCGCGGCCTGACGCCCTGTGGCCCATAGCCAGGGACCTGCTGCGGCTGCCCGTAGCCCATGCCCGCTCCTCCGCCCTGATCGTAGCCCACGGCCGACTGCTCCTCGTAGCCATAGCCCATGCTCGGCTGCTGTGGCTGGCCGTAGCCGGCGCTCGAGGCGGGCGCACC